TTTTTTTTTTACAAAAAGATTACAGTTTTTCAAAGTTATTTTATATTATATAAGGTAAAAACTTTATTTATTTTTTTGTTCTTAATAGTGTGAATGAAGTAGAACCTCTACTTGTTTATTTTTCTCATGTATATTAAATTAATTTAATGATTCGTTTTCTATGTAGTCTTTAATGTAACAGTTTCAAGTGTGCTAGATATTGTTGTGGTTTTGACTGCAACAACTGCAATTATTACCCAAACCTTTACCCAAAGTTGACAAACTTTTCAAGGTTTTAATTCTTTTTTTTTTTTTTACAAACACATGTTTTTTCTTGCAAAAAAACTGGAACAAAACTGACTCCATAGAGAGAGCAGGTTTTGGCCTAAATGTGTGGCAGCGGTATAACACTGCATATGACCCTGAAAACAGATTCAGGCAGTGTACTGTAACATGGTAGGGGTAGCATCAGGCTATGGGTTTTTTTTTTGGTTTTTGGATAAGACGGGAATGTTGATCAAAGATTAAGGGAAGATGGAGGGAAACACAGGGACATCTTGGAAAAAATACCAGAAAAAGACTAAAAGCGAAGGGAATAAAAACCTCATCTGTGCTTTCACAAAAAGTGTAGCTGTAATGGAAGACATAAAAGACACGAATATAAGAAGAGAAAAAAGTGAGAACTGATTGCTATCCTAGTGCAGCAAGTGATGTCTGGTTAATACGGTTTTCATAGTAACAATCAGAAACATTTAAAACCAGGAGTGGGTAGGGGAGTGGCAGCTTTGTGGTTAGGGCGTAGAGCTTGGAATCCTGAGGTTGTGAGTTCCAAACCCACTCCCACAGACTGCCACACTGGCTCTCTGAGCAAGACCACCATTTGCCTCCTGGGCACCGCACAATGGCAGCCCACTGCTCCCAAAGGGGATGGGTTAAATGCAGGGAGTACATTTCTCCAATGTCAGATCAATAAAGTTCAGTTATTTATTATTACCACCATAGCAAGGAACAAGAGCCTTTTGGCTCTTGACTCATTATTATGTTTCTGATCTGTAATTTTTAATCTGCCTCAGGTGGATCACAGGAAGGGATTTGTTTGTGGATTTTTCATGTGTGAGTCTTACCGTCTCTAGGGTATGATAGGCTCCAAAGTCAAAGCTCATGGTGCTCCGCTCCCTGATATGGTTCCTCTCCATCTCGGCTTTCTCCTGATCTAGAAGCTCCTGAAAATCGCGGGAAGATGAAGTTAACTTAATTTCATCCAGCAGATTTTTAAAGTAAACCTTGGGGAGCTTCAAACCTGGACATCTTTAATCATGACAGTGAAAGGGATGCTATTAGCATGCAGGTATTCCTTCACGGCACTAAGATGGGAACGGGGCACTCTGACATCTACAGGGAGCTCAGTGGAGACCGGATGGAGCCAGAAGTCCAGCTGGAATCAGGAAGTTGTTTGACAGTTTCACGGAACAGCGTTGATTACTAATCAGAATCTTTTAATAATGGAATATGAAGCTTGATGAGTAACAGGTCTGTTCATAGCCTCTGATAGCAGCAAATACCAGATGAGCCAATCAGAGAACGATCAATATCTCCTCTTTTCATATGTAAGTGAGTCAGTATAGGAAACTAAAATGTTTATGAAATTTTTCTTAAAAACTTGTCTGTACTCAAATGCTTAACTATCTGAATGAAGGTTCTTTTTGGAGAAAAAATTAATCTATACATGATAAAAGGCTAATCTATGGTTTTAATGCATTAGAAGGGAAAGTCAATTAGCAGCTTACAAAAAAAAAAACAGCTAAGAGAGCCTAAATGCTGTAAAAAGTGTGTGAGGTTTGTGTTTCCATACGTTCCACTTTCCTTCAGACTCCAGAATCTGCAGCAGCTTGATCTGTTCCTCCGACTGCGCCTCAACTCTGATGACCTGGTCACTGAAACAGATCCATTTTAGTTACTTGTGTTTTTTTTTGCAAAATGGTAGAATTAGTAGATAACGCCCAACCAGATTCGAAGGCAGAGCCTCTCTTGACTGCCAATAAAAGTTTTTCAGCTCATTAATCATCTACATTCTTTTTTTTTTTTTTTTTTTAGACCAAATCTTACTGTTTAACCTGAATACTCATTGGATTCAGAGCAATCAGTAAATGTTTAAATGGAGTAAGGAAGGTTTAAGGAGATTATCATACTAAGCAATGAAAAATAAACTTTTTAAAGTGTTATGATGCTATTCTTTCCTCATATTTCGCTCAAATCATACATGTCCTGAGAAGGTGACTCATGGTCACTGATATCAGTGAGCGGTGATGTCAGGCAGAGTGCAATCATTTCTGTTAAAAGTTGTGAAATAGTGATGCTTTTAACACTTAATATAGACAGAAATTATGTAACCTTTTTTCTTCCAAATATGGTTTTATCCTGTAAGAGTCTCAGAGTTTCTTCAGCCTTCCTAATCACCATATGGCCATAATGGCATGGGTGTGTACCCACATTTGGAGAGGGGGCAAGTGAAGGCAAGTGAGGACCATGTGTTGACTCCCATTGACTTTCAGTCATTTTCAATCCTTTCTATGCCCTAACCTGAAAACTAACCCTAAACCTAACCATTACCAATGCATACCTCACC